ATAAAGTATATAATGCTGCTGCAGTTTCGGCTGGGATCGAACCTAAACCTCGCTTGCGGATTGCAGAAAATTTGTCGACAGCCCACGACCGGTTTCGCCCTTCTTGGGGCTCATCAAATGGGCGCAGTCCCCGAGTTTCCATATACCTTAAGCTCTACTTGAAACCAAATTGCAATAAATCAGCAAAATACACTCGTTTGCAAACTGACTTGGCTTGTTCTTAACTTGTTTATTTATTCCCAACTTGTGGGTGGCACACCGTTAAGCATGAACAGAATGTAACAGTAAAATAAAGCGTGGCTGGCGGGGATTGTGGGCTTATGGTTGATTAGAAAAAAGGCAGCCTCATAGGGGATGGGCATCACCCTATATAGACGTGGTCACCACCAAACCGGCACGGGCTGGGACGCACAGTTAATGTGTGTTTTCCGAACAGAATATCGAGCAAGATCGGATCGTTAGGATTTGAAGGTGTTGGGCGAAAATACAAAGCGAGGGGGGGCAAAAAGATGCTCCCCGCCTGACACATGACTAGAAAGGTGTAACGGTTAAAAATGAGGAACCAGAACATCAGATCTGGTGAAGCAACAGAGTTTGCGTCATCCAGCCGGTCATATTGAACTGAAATCTAAAGTCCCCGCTGAGGCCTCATGGTTTTGGACTGTTAGGCTGATGGCCAGGGACGCAAAAAGCGTTGGTAGGGATAATGAAGAGGACAGGCTAACAAAGCGAATAAGCGGTGAAAGGAATCCAAAGAGCATGGTGTTGCTGTTGGGGAGTCAGGCATAATAGTTCCTCGGAAGAGTGAGATAATGGCAACACGCGAGCAGGAGCGTGAACTGTATAGAAAGTTATTGTATTTTGCGGAAAGCACAGACGCCCAGAAATGGTTGAATTGAAATGAAAGATTAAGCAGTTTGGAATGAAATTGTCATAGAGGCAGTTGGGGTCAGATGGGGAACCCGTTCGTAGTTGAAGTTAATGGAACGAGCAAGCGAGATGGTACGGTCGAGAGAGAAAAGGGAATAGCTGCGGGGTTGCAATCAAACTGGGTATGCCAGTGAAATGCCATCATTGGTCTGACACGCTTCGGTTTTTGGATAGCCCCGTAACGGACTTCACATTCTAGGTCATTGGGCTGGGATGTACGATTCTTTGAGCCTCGTCTGCTCACTCGAACTTATTTCAAATGGTCGGCCCCTTCATCAGCTCTCTGTTGTAACACGTCCTTGTAAACGCTTCCATAGATTCAAAACACCGATGTATTCAGAGTAAACAACGCTGTCTCATGCGTGAGCTAGCAGAGATTGGCAGAATTCACGCGACTTTATGCGTCTAGAGCAGATCGTTTGGCAAAGCATCCACCATTTCTCTTGGCTAGCAACTGCACGTACTGAGGTAACCTTGTTGTGCAAACATGCCAGAGGATCATGCGCTTCAAGTTCATCTCCAACATCCCTTCGCTATATACTCTGGACATCTAATTCTTCTGACTTACCCAACTCCCGGACTTATTAGCCACATTCATGCGCAGCACATAATATCAGAAAGCCATGCACATCCTCAGTCGGTATGCTAATGTCCACCAACTTAGCACTTGATGGGAATAGTTCCGAAACCGAATTATACGGAAACTAGCTGTGTTCTTCAGCTGAAGTCTTGATAAAATAGTGCACACTCAGTGTGTGATCCGAGTTTTACTCCGATGCGGCCGAATTCTTCGAGGGCGCAACGTGCTTCATTGTTGCCATTCAGAAGAGGCAGTGTGACCTACGACACGACAGGGCAGGCACCTAGGAGTTGTTAGAGTTTCTAACCACTGACGGTGGGTGACGGTACCCAGTTTCAAAAACGGTAATCAAACTTCAGGTGGAGATGGTAGAAAATGACGGTATGTGGTCGACGCAATTTAATGTGGTGAGGAATATGAGTGACATGCACCGGCCAAATATGTAAAACTAAGTTTATTACCACCTCTGAACTCATCCGTGAAGCCGGGTGGGGAAGGAGGGCATGCGAATAGATGAATTCGAAAATTGTGTTTGGAACGTACGCGCTCCCGTACCAGTGCTTACGACTGGGCAGTTAGCTGGTAGATATTTAGGGTGCCGTTCGACTGACACTTTTTCGCTGCCTAGGGAACATACTGTGACTGTATTTCCAAAGCCTGGACTCCGTAGAATGAGAAGTCCGTTAGCCTCTGGGTAGGTTGTTTCCCTCATTGGCACTGGGCTTCCTCTGCTATTCAGCGGTGTGCACAGGTGCGATGCAAACTAAGTTAAGAACAAGCCAAGTCAGTTTGCAAACGAGTGTATTTTGCTGATTTATTGCAATTTGGTTTCAAGTAGTCGACGGCATGAGGGCAGTGTTCTGCTATTATTGGTTCGCTAACCGGTCGTGGGCTGTCGACAAATTTTCTGCAATCCGCAAGCGAGGTTTAGGTTCGATCCCAGCCGAAACTGCAGCAGCATTATATACTTTATAGGCTTAAAGCATACACGAAACTGTGTAGCAGAATTACTTTGTTATTTTAACCGAACATCCAGGGATCCCAACAAAGGCAGCTCGCCTTTTGCAGGTACAAATAATTTCATCTAAAAACTACCCAATACTGATTCAGTTTCTATTTTGAACTATCCTGTATACTGTTGTGGAGAAGATCAGCGATTGGCCGCTCAGCTGGATCTTGCAGAATTAGATCTGGCGTCAAGTGGACGTACAGAAACAGAACTATCTTATTGGGGTACGACGGACGTTTATCAGGTACGTTTGTATGCCATTGGTTAAACCACTGCAACAAGTGGTTGGCGGAACAATAAGGTCACACCGAGACCGAAGCTGACATGAGGTAAGCCAGATGGAGGCTGAACGAGATCTGATACATGGAGTCCTAACAAGTACACGCGTTTTAGGTCAGCTTCACTATCGTAAGCGGTATCCAAGCACAGATAAGTGTTCGGAAAATTGACTAATGTGCAACAAAGTAAAGACAACTGCCGAATAGAATAGGCGAACGATGATGGTGGTCGCCAAAGGCCAGTCAGTGTTCTTTCCCATTCACTGTGTGGGACAGCTATTGCTGAGAAGTTGCTCTGGGGGGAGAACTGTGGTTCCGGAAGTGGTGTGGCTGCAAAACGGAGTCTGTGGAGCAAGCCATCGCTTTATTCTGATACACTCCACAAAGAACGAAATTCAAATTGTTGAGAAGTGTTCTTTCACAGTATTCTTCAGAGGTTCACACTAATCTATGCAGATCAATGACAGAAGTCTTTTCGTCCAAAAACACATTTTCCAGCGATTCTGATGTACCGGATTTAAGGTGTTACAGGAGGACTGAAGTGGATTAACCTCAAGTTCAGCCAACTCGTCTGTTCGTAAAATGTGAACAGATAGATTGGCCCCAATAGACAAGAAAAAATAGAACAAACCAGTATCCTCACCCCATTTAAATCACGCCGGAAGTCGGTACGAATACAGTTCCAAAAGCAAGTGGAAAACCCCGGCAAAGATATTGATGACAGACGTGGGTAAAAGCAGTTGGCAAAAACTGCATTAGGTATCTTTGAAATGTGGAAGAACAACTTTGTTCATCAGGGTTGGAGCAGGGTTATGGAAGTCAAGCAGTATCGAAATAGATTGAACGATGGGTGGTGGAGACTGACAGGTAACACATCACGAAGCGCTCCAGCGTGTGCGCGTGAGTGTCCAAATCTGCTGAAGACTAGGCCTCCGAATCACTGGGCTGGATGATCATGACTACTTTGCCAATAGCAACCGTCTTGCCCTCGTCTCGTAGCGTGAAGCGCCCCATTTGTGGAAATGACTCAAAGGTTTCTAGGCATATAGTGCCCCCGATAACCTGATGAAAACGTGGGAAAAATAACACAAGCATCAGCGTAAATGACAAACGATCAGAGATGTTCAGTAGTAGTGCCTGAATGAAAACGATAGCAATGCTCGTAATGCGGCTTGCAGTTGGTGGGAACAGAACATGGAAGCTGGAATATCGTTAGGTGAAGTTGGAAGCTCACACAAGCGAAGACAGCAACTAAAAGGAACATACATTCTAAGCAATTTTTCCTTCAGTATACGTTTGTGGTGGAAGCCACACTTTTGATAAAGACAGTGGGCGGTGGCCGAAAATGCTATCTAGTCTCAACATGAATGGGAGTCGCTGGGTGACAGAGCGGGGTTCAATTGATTCTATCGTGAACAGCATATAGTTGATTATCTAACGCCAGACGAACAAGTTCGGCCAAAATTGTACGTGTTCAAGAAACTCGAGACATGGAATTTAAGACTCAGTGATTGAGAAAATGATGAACAGCGACTATCACGTTTTAGATAAGTAACGAAGTCTGCCGCAAATAAAAATAACAATATTTCTGCACACGAAGAGTTGACAGGGGGAAAACACTTCATTTTAACTTCGATTGAAGCAAATAAAGCTTCAATTGCAGTTTTCGTGAATTCATCAACAGTCTGGGATATTTCAGTCACAAGTTCAACCAATGAGCATTTGCGCATTATTTTACCAAGCTTTACAGTAGACCTAATAACCGGTTATGACGGTGGAGATATGGCTTCTAATCGAACTCCGTCGCTTAAGATGCGGAGGCGGCCTCTACCTCTCGAATTCCCCTGTCTAGGTTTAGGCAACCTGACAGTATACCAACCATCGCAGCTTCCTTCAGGTGGCATGGCAGCCAGGCAACGAAAGGGTGTTACAGCCGAACGATTATTTTATTTATTATTATCGGGTGAGACAGTGATTCGCACGAGAGAATTGGGGGACGGAAATCATCATTATTATCATCATCAGCTGTATAAACCGCGTATTAACCGTGCAGTAGTTACAGCTGCTACAGTTTCGTTCACCGATGATTTAGGTAAGTGAAATAAATAGCTATGCATTGGAGACAACAGATGATATAAGTGAACTGTAAATACAGGGGTGTCAGTGATTAGCAAGACCGGGAGGGGAACTATGCATCGCAGGTAGCAGCTCGGATGCACAAACGCCACTGAGGACGCGACTGGGACATGCTTGATGATGCCTTAAACCACTGATATGTCTCGTTTCAAGGTCCCATCCAAGGGTGGGGGAGATAACCAGCGCGGTTGAATTTGTGAGAAAATGGCTATTCAAGGAAATCGGTCAGCTGGCATATGGAGCACGTCACCAAACCAGCGCAACCTATGGAGCGTCGTCAGTTTACTATCGAGGGTGAGTTATTTCTAGCGAGAAATAGTTGACGCACTTCGGTGTTACTGATCCGGTGTTCCCACCAGACTCGGGCTATACTCCGAAGACAGATCGAAAGTTCTTAGCGTCCGCAGTGCACACCGGCCAACTAGCTGACTTGCGTAACAAAAATAACGCACCACAGCAATGTAAATCTAACCCTTGACGGATTAGCTGATGTCACGGCAACGGCACAGGTGATACTGGTTCATGAAAGCTGCTCTGACCTTTCCAATCCGGATAGAAATACCATCTTTTGTGAGACCACCGGGATCGTTACAGCTACCCAATCGGCTACCTCAATCGGCTCATACGGAAGCATGGGTTTAGGGTTCGGGCCCACCCAGTCTTGCAGTAGCACTTTACACTTTGCAGGTGTGGAGCACATGGCAAACCGTGAGGCGGAATTAGATTATTTGATGTTTGCATTACCACGGCGTCAGATCCAAGGAGATATATGTCGTTTGCGTACTCGATACCTGCTATGAACGCGCCAGGGGAGAACTTCCACCCCACAGGCACTATAAACCGATGGTGAGTCTTCCATAATCGTATGAATGAAAAAGTTGAAGAGGAAAGGTGAAGCAGGGCAGTACTGCCTGACCACATGATGTGGTGAACTCAAGCTAAAACTTCCCGTAGACCTTCATACGTCCACGGGAGTTGGCTTATAGCGCCTAAAGAGGGTCGAGAATTTACGGGGGAAGCCTTTGCCCCACAGGCAATGCCGTGGTGCCCGACAGTCCACAGAGTCAAAGGAAGCTTTTAAGTCAAGGAACACCACCTCCGTTGTTTGCTGGAATGATTATCGCTGTTCTAGAATTTGCCGGAAGGTGAAAATGTGATCGATGCACCCTCTTGCAGGTCAGAACTCGGTGTGCTTATCACGGATCCGTCTCTCCCTGTGTTCAGGCAACCATCGAATGGTCAGACCAGAGGGCACCAGTCAACAGTTTGATGCCACGGCGATTTTCACACAGCACAAGCGTATCCTTTTTGAAGGTGGGGATAACTGTCGACATAATCCACTTCCTCTTCGCTCTATATCGCACCGGGGTATCACCGGGGATTCTCCGCCTTCTTTGAACAAAGCTGGATGCATGCTGTCCGATCCTGATACCTTCTCACGTTTTAGTGCAGATATTTAGCACTTAGTGTCCTCTACCGACGGGTGATTGTAGTTTACATTAAATCCACCCATATGCACTATCTCTACAGGTTGCGTTGGAGGTCGAGGTGCTCCGCCCATTTTTTAATCAGCATTTTTGCGGGTGAATTACTAAGCCGCCTATCGTTTCACTGATCGTTGCTTTTCTATGATCGCTCGATCGTGTCAACTAGTATGGGGCACTGTTGTTTCCGGTAGCAAAGCCTTCTCCATCCCCCGATCCTTCGATGATCACCAGAGCTCCTCAGGCTCTTCAGTATTTGGCGTTTGCAGGACATGCGTGCACAGTCGTACTCGGTGCTCCTGGTCTGACTGCCCCCTCTGGCCTCCCTGAAATGGTTGCACCTTGTGGAACGAAATTCCAGCCAATGTAGCTCGCGGGATCATTGCAGCACTTAAACCCAACCTCAAGGTGGCAGAGTTGGGTTGGTATACTTTGTTGTACAAAGGGATGGACGTGCATTCGCAAAAAGAATCCAGGTATTGCGGTGGAAACGCCATTGTATATTTTGAGAGGGCATTATCAAAACCAACAAACTCATCAGTAGAAGACAGATGATTAGCTGGTGGCAGGACTAAAACCTAAAAATCTACGATCAGAAGCATAGAAATGATACCAAAAGAATCCCCGATAGGTTACTCACCTCAAACCGGACCACAGCAGCATCATCTTGTTTGATGAACCGTGGTCTAATCTCTGTTTTCTGATTGGTCTTTTTATCAATTCTGCAAATGATGGTTCGGAGTCGCACCTCTTTCATGGTCGAGTGCATATGAAGCACCGCAGTGTATCCAGGACACATGATTGATTTGCAGTCGAGAACAATCAATTTGGCGTCAAATCTGTCGGATACCTAAAGAATAAAAAAATAATCACACAAATTGGAGTAAAATCTTTCAAGACGAGTTGGACAGAATGTCAGGGTCAGCTGCTCTATATTTCGGAAACAGTAAAATAGGAGTGAACGGGGGGAGGGGTGAACAGTTGTAATATGAACGTGAGACACTGAAGGCCAAGGGCAATTCGGTGAACGGTCTACAAACCAATCAAGCATTGGCTTGATTTGCGTACAACCGAATTCGTGAGGTAAATCAAGTTGGAATCTAGTCCAGATCGTTGAGTAACAAACTCACTACAATGGAATGAGTTGGAATTGTATTTCTTTGGATTCTGGTTAACTGACAAGTCCGACAGATTCATTCAGAAACCTAGTTGGCACAGTTGTGCTGCCTTGAAACTCGACCAAACTTGCTACCTACTCGCGCATGGACTGACGAATCTTTTGCAATCGAACCAGTGAGTGATTTGCAGGATTTTCCGAGGAGTAAGGTTTTCCTGGCATTTGCGTGCACTCGCTTCCCGTTTGACATACCACATCAAGCGTCCATTACGTTCTGAGGAGATGGTGAATTGGACTTTTCAACAGTTCGAATACATCCGTCCCGGGGAAAAGTTGTGGAGAAAGCCCATAAAAACAGTCGCCCTTGGTTAGCACTTTAAGTTGGAACACCAGTTGACTAAGGAGAAAGACTAGGTAGATTACAAAACTTAGCTCCACTGCTGTTCCGTGCTTGTGGACAAAAGATATAAGCTTTGAAGTGTAAAAAGTTTTCTAATGCAGCTGGACCTCGAGAAACATCATACAATAAATCACAACCGCGATTACCAATTGCACCACTCGAAATGATGCAGTGTCCACCAAAACGAAACAAGCAATCTTTCATTTCCCGCTAGATAGTGATATCTGATTGAAAGCTGACAATTTATTTAAACGGTACATTGTGCCTAGTCAACTTGAGTTTACATAGAGACGAGTTTCTAACAAACACTAAACCGACGTCGTAACAAGAGGTTCATGCTCATATGAGCGAGCAGTAAGCAAAAAACGCTGACCAGATTGTAGTTTCAATGTTAACTGTTGTCAATAAACGCCATGAATTGCATCTTACTGTGTCATAGAGACTAGTCCCATCCGGTTTCATTTATCTTGTGTTCTTCTCACACCTTGAGTTAGTGGCCTCTAGTCAGAATAACCTACGCAGGGTAGAATTTTGATTCTGTCCACTCTGTTTAAATCAAGCACTCCGAGCTACGCCACCTGTTTAACCATGGGACTTCGCCGAGTTTTCTGGGTTACTTTCGAATGTTTCTGATAGAGCTTCCTATCTTCTCTGTACGACAGCATCTGATAGGACAACCTTTCAGTGGGCCCTCATAGCGGACAAGAAAACCATGCCAGTCAATGACAACCAATCGGTTATGTAGTGGCTATATATCGAGTGTGTGATCGATTTTATCGCTACTGCTCCTATGCAGGTACCGAATGCCGCCACTTTCGGTAATCCAACGAACCTGACTGGTGGGGTTCAAGAGGTAAAACAAGCACAAATGAATGAGTCAACAATGGGAAAGAGTAAATGAAGCAGAGAAATACAATATGGTCGTTGGCTGGGGTACCAGTTCCAAACCACTGATCACGGTCTACCGTATACCTCACACCGCATTTGATCATTTAAGGCTACATAAATCGTCCTTCTTATTTGTTTGAGCCCAAAGATACCCATCAGCTGCAACTTTACAGCTCAATTCACCCAACTATTCAACACGCGCCACCAATTCGCCTACAAATTAGCGAAAAAGCCAAAGGCTCCGATGGATTTCTGGATAAGTCTGCGTCTAAATTCGCTGAGAAGCTGTGGTAGTCGAACACCCATTACACGGGCTAAATGCCACACGCACGACGCGCAGAAAGGAATGGAGATAGAATTGCACTGGGAAGGGGCAAACAACATTGCCATACAACTCTTGTCTACTGGAAACGAGAGGATAAAGAATCAGCAAGCCAATCAATCGGGGAAGCGGAACACCCAGCAGAATGAAGCGTATGTTCACAGCGAAAGACGATGAAGTGAAACCCGGAAAAACACACTAAATATGGGGCTACCTTTGTCTGCAGATGCAGAAATTAGTAGAACAAGGCGACGACATTAGATATACCGCGACTTGTCTTCAATATTGCTTGGAAGAGTGAGACGACAAACGAGAGGACCCGTCAAGTGGTACTACCTTGCTATAACCTTGTGTTAGGCAGGAATCCACGCGGATCCCACTATACCGCATGTCTTTAGGCGCTGCTACGGCCGAGAAGCCTGGCCCGCTCTAGGTTGGCCCAGAATTCGGGACGCTTGACGGTCCGGCATCAAGACGAGATCTGATTGGTCAACAATCTGGACCCAACAGCCAATCATGACCCAGTACTGGCCAAATGCCGGTTGCCAGTGGCGCATCCAGAACGCGTCAGAAATTCCAGAAAGTTATAACCGCTTACGCTATATATAAGAAGCGCTGTACAACTGTTCTTGACTTCGTTTTTGGCGTTAATAGACCTTGTGCACCTTTGGTGGTTGTTTTGACGTGAACACTAGCTTGGGAGGCTCAGACCGAGAACTAAGCTGAGGAAAATACCGTTACTACACCTTGATAAGCTGTAATGTGAAAACACTTTTTGCGCACGTTGGGGCAGGCTTAATATGAACGGTCCTCCAAAGCTCACGGATACATAAACCGGAAAAGTATGCATTAGGGATGTTCAGGAGAGACTCACTGAGCCTGTCAGCAAGCACATGAGGAAGTACGTTATTAGGACTAAAAGAAATTGCCAACCGACAGGATCTAAGAAAACTTGACAAACGCTCACGAGATGTCAGAAGTTCTGTCATTTGGAAGAGGAATAGGGATAAGGAAGTTTGATAGCCTAATGGAATCGGATGGGGACTCTTCATTTAAGGAAATTAATCAATCAATAAACCTTGTTCAATTTTCTCTCACAACGTTCATGCAGCTTCACACATTTTGTGATGCGTCTAGATTTATCAATCAGTTCAGGAAAACTGGCTTCAGCTTCCTGATTCTTTGTCGCACCTACCAACTGCGGTCACTGACGACAGTACGTCCCTTACATCTGTAAGCACGCTCCTTTCGTCTTTAAATTCGTTTGAGATGAATGGAGCTAACCGATCCGTTGCCCAAGGATGGCTCCAAAGGGACAAAATTGAATACGTACATTAGGAAGCATTTTACAAAGGGTGGATTTGAATGAGGAAATAGTTTGGGCTCGGGGGACGGTAAAGAAGCTACTGTGAAGGATTTCAACAATACAAGGACGATTTTGAGCGTGGGAGCTATGGGACGATAACTCAAAGAGCAAAACAAGACCGACAGACGACAAGCGAATGAGTGTTCACAGATTCCAAGGAGTGAACGGAGCTTGTGGAGATAAAATCGTGATCTGGTAAAACACGTGGTCAAGTTGCACCCATTCCTGGTTAGCTCATGAACTATAGCATAGAAACGAACGAAAAGCTGCGACTGACCCCATTAAGGTGCTAAACAAAAAAGTAAAGAATCTTGCAGAAGAAGGAAGAAGTTCTATTATGCCTACCATTTAAAAGATGCTACACTGTTAAAAGTGTACGATAAAAAACCGTCAAAAGTCACACGTCCACATTTGTTTAGTTAAACTTGATTTATGTATCCAGAGGCTTTAGTTGAGGGTCCCAATTATCCCTGATTACAGCTCTGAATCTACAGGGTTTTAAGAACGCCATAAATGCCCTGATACAACAAGCTCAGGGCCCGAACATCGTTGTGTTCGCTGGTGACATGGACGCGCAGACCAGCAGAATTTGCGTTCCTGAGGCTCAATTGAGTGGTCGTCTTCGAGTTGACAGGATAAAAGCGCCCACTGCGGCTGCATGCTGATCAAAGACTGTTTCCTTGAAAAAAACGAGAATCCATTGACACCGGGATGTCCACTAATCGAACACAGAACCCAGATTGGCCACACTGCCTTCAGGTACAGGCGGATCAAACACTGGATAATCCATCCATCTTCTGAAATACCTGTGTGAACAAAAACCGTGCGCTGCTGTCTTCAGGTCTTCAGACGGCATGGTCCGCCGGAAACTTTAGTATCGGATAATGGATTGCAGTTCAGCTCCAGCTGCTTCCGCGATTGTCGGAGATTGTCACGCACGTCCGTTCGCTACCGTACCACCCGCAGTCAAACGGTCAGGCAGGACTTTTCGTCGATACGTTCAAGCGGGCGCTGCTCAAATCTCGAGGGGAGGAGACCTCCGTCAAAGTTCTCCAGAGATTTCTTCTGATCTACCGTACCACTCCAAGTGACTAGTTGGAAGACCGGAAATCGGAAATTGTGGACTATCAATTCAGCCATGTCTCCGACACCGACAGCTCGTTCCCGGTCTACAGTGGATACAAAGATGGCCAAATTTGCAAATGCTTTTGCCGTGCGAGACTATCGACGAAGGCACGACCCCCGGATCCAAGGCCACGTCTGACGAAAACCGGGAGCGTAATGTATAACCTCTCTGTTGGCCAAGACATCTGGACGCGAAATAGGAACCAACTCCATCCACGCCACCTTTTTGAAAAGCCAGCCACAGTAACCTACCACTCGACAGTATCCTGGACAGTTTTGAACTACAAGCAATCACGCCTGACGCGACGTAGCGGGAGACGACAGAGAACGCATCAATTTTGGACTCAAATCTTCTCCGAAGAAGATAGACCGATCGCCACCAACCTCAAGCGGCTCTTTCTCAGACTGACCCAAGGAAGACCCGTTACTGACTTTTCCCTTAAGGGGAGGTGTTGGGGATATCAGTATCCCCAAAACCCGTTTTTTCTTTCCCAGGTATTCAACGATGTTTTCGCTGTACTTCGCCTTTGGTTGAGAGAGTAACAGTTGTTCTCCGAATGTCCGGTCATCTTCTTATAGGAAATTATTCACAAAATTACTGAAAACTGTTCGACAGGGTGAGGCCAAATTCGTGCGCAAATGAGGGCATTTGTGGGAATCCGTTCAAGCTGGGTCCAAGTAGAACATACGGTTGATACAAACTCGGAGACTGCGCCTACCTGATAAGCCCTAAGAAGGCCAAAACTGGTGGTGGGGTGTCGAACGGTTTTCAGCAACCTTAGGAATAGTGTTATACCAGTGTTGACAGTGACGCTTTTCTCTCTCAATATGACGACGATACTAGCTTTTGAGAGGTGATTTCAATTAAAACACAGTAACGAACGCTGTCTGCATAAAAAACATTGATAAGGCGAGTTGGTTACCCCGGTGATGACCCCACCCTACACTTTACCTGGTGTGAAGGTCGACATTCAATCGCTGTTACTATCCTTTTCATGTACAGATGTAGAATGGTTTGTGCCACTGGTGAAGGTAATTTGATACGGTAATTTAGTTTTCCTGTTCTTAATTGATGAAATGGAAGAGTAAGTCCAGCGCGCTTGATGGAACTTATGGGCAGTGGAACAATAGTACTAACAGTCGTTCAGCTTTTGCACCACTTTGGCGCCTAGCTGCCATGACACTGAAAAAAAAGCTTGGTATTAATAAGCCGATGTTCCACAAGGACCAGGAGAAATACGAGTCCGAGCTTTGAGCAGCATGGATCCAGTTGGTTGGGCCATTCCACAAGCACAGCACCCAGTAACCTGCAGGGTCACGGATACGAAATGGAACTCAGTAGGTGGTAGTAATAGGCATGTTTCACATCAGGGTCCGACAGCTTTTTAACAATCAGACGGAGTGCGTGAATGTTCCGAACCTCTGAAAAGTACAGCGAGGAACAGCAACAGCCAAAAGCATGTGATCCGAGTACAGAACGAGCGACGTCCAGTAACTCACTCACGCCCCCAACAGCGAATGGCGAAAAGTTGACTCACATGCGAGAGCGGAACCAGGTAGACAAGGGACTGTGGTCTACCTGTGTCAAAAGTTGACTCACCTGCGAGAGCGGAACCAGGTAGACAAGGGACTCCGTTCATGCAGAAGCCAGTAACACAGAGAAACAGCCTGCGGTCAGCAAATAACAGCAGCTGGGGTTCCTCTGTATGTCTGTACGTCTTGATTCTAGTCCTAGGTGATCACCCAAGTGAGCCTTAGCAGCGCTGCATCAATCTACTTGCGCATTCGTATCCCTGGGAGCCAAAACAACCCAGCTTTTAGCCCACCGTAACAAGGCACTCAGTGTCACAAAAGCTGTCTTTGAATGTATAAGAGCTCCAGTCTGTTGGCCAATCAGCAAATACTATGGACGGGTGCGTCTATGGAATAATCTCACAAGTGATGCCAAACGAACCACACGGAAGCAAACATCAAATAGCAACCATTCAACCAGAGATCCTAAAACAATACCAACTCCAGCAGAATCAGTAGCAGAAGTTTCTGGACCATTGGAGTAGAGCAACCGAAAGCCAGCGGTAGACCGACGGGGATGTCAGTTCAACAATCGTACTTGGATCGCGAATTCTCGTTTCAAACAGATGTCACACATTAACAGAAAGCGAGCTCTGCACAGAAGAAATGAAATCGTTTAGCTGTAGCACTCTTTCGGTGCTTAGCTGCCATGTCACCTGAAGGAGACTCGAGGGCTGACATACTGCCAGGTTGCCTAAGCCTAGACAGGGGCAGGTGAGCTGCTGAGGTTGGGTTCGAACCACGGACCTTCCAGTCAGTTGGTTGACACGTTAACCACTGAGCTATCTCGAGTTCATTCGGATAATGTACAAATTGGCGAACATGATTCTCAAAAGAATTGGGTAGTGATCTAGATTTACAAGATACAATCAAGCATTCAGTATACCTATAAGAATGCTTACAGACAATGGTGTCAGGTTCAGTGAACAGCGATGAAAAGGCCTCCGCTGTGTCTGTTGTTCTTTAGCATAAGATCGAGCAGAAAGCAGTGGTAAGACTAATACAGGATAGACGTCAAAAGATCAATTTTTGAACGGAGGTTAAAGTGTCATATCAATTCGAAGGGCACGCGTGCGACTGATATGCAATCGAATATAAGTCGGTATTAGGCAAGTCACTCTCCAGTACATTGATCTGGCTATTTGTGTTTCGAATTTGAACAGATTTGAGGAAAAGAAGAGAGTCTGGAGCCCAAGCACTATGTGATATCGTGCAATGAACCCAAGAGGAAGAGGCCAGCTGCAATAAAATAATGCACCGGCAATGGCAGCAGTGACACAAGAACACGCTGTTTCGTCTTTACCGAGCAACTATTATTACGTGTTGCTGTTTTGGAGGTAGTGAGACCATGAAAATGGCCTTGAGTGTAACCGTTAAAAACACAAGCCATAAAGACGGACTGGAAACGGCAAATGGACCAATAAGGATGACGCGGGTATAGACGATTGAAGAGGAAGCACGCGGGAACCTACGAAGGGCAAAGGTTTGTTTTGGGAATAAGCGGGATAGTTTGTTCAAACACATTAGTCTCCCGCTCTCTCTCTCGAGCTGTCTCCGAAAGACTCTCGTATAATAGTATTGTTGCGCTAAAACGTAATCGAACAAACGCAATTTTGCGTTCCAATATCGAGTTAACCAGCGAGTAGTCTGCTACATTATTGTGTGTTAGTGTTCATCCACTGTCTCCCTGTTCAAACGTAATTCACAGGACATAAACAGACCAAACACTTCAGATTGTGTTATGAACCCACATCAATCTTCAGTACTAGGACAAATGTTATATTAAGAAAATGAGCCGAATGAATTCCGGGTCAAGGATGGAGGGCATCTCTTGTCACACCGGGGCCCCAGAACCCGAAAGTGTCAGACTGAATGGGGCAGAGTCCTTACCAAGAGTCATTAGAGAAGCGGTATTGGACTTGATGTGTTGAGGTGAAATCGTGGGAATCCCGTCAGGAAGTCGAAGTTTTCTACTCTGAAGAGTTATTGCAAAATAACCCAATAAAAAAGCAGGCGTACGAGTTACGACGAATCGGTTCAATACCAGTCAAGTGAACAATTAGTCGTTAAGCCCTAGAAGGAGAGTTCTTAAGTTGACAGACAAAAGTGAAGGTTTGATCCACGACGCAACGACAAACAGAGCGGCTGGAAATAGATCAGCATCCGCAACTTACTACATACGCGGAAACTCACTTTACATAGATTGCTTGGTGAACAAAGACAGAAACCAGGAGAGATATCTTCCTCTTCGCAATTCTTCAGCCTGAGTTTACATGTTTCACCGGCTTCTGCTTTCAGAACTTCAACATCACCATTAAATACCTAGACGGGATGGGAGAAGGTAAGCATAGTCATGTGTCAAAAACTTACAGTTAAAGACAGTAGCTGAGAGGCGGTTTGAACGCATATACCAGCCACACAACTTGCGTCAACTTTTGTGAAGCAAACCATGGATATTTGAAAACAACCTATGATTCGTCTGATGGAATGTAATCTAGCTAGTCAAACTGATAAAAGCACGAGTATCCGAGAATGATCCTAGCAGGTTCACTCGCAGTAAACTAGTGAGAACACAGATTGAAATGCGAAAGCATCTGTCTAGCGAGCAAGCACAATACTGCTAGATAAATTGTGAGTGAAATCAGGAATGAGATGGAGCCAGTTTACCTGGATTAGTAAAACGGCGATGCAAAATTTCGGTCGAAATCGAACAATGGTGAGAAGCACAAGTTCTCTATATAGTTGGGACAACATCACAAAGTTATGTGAGTGAGTTACTACCGGCGACTTGAGCTATTGTGTGCCGGCATCAGTCTACAATAGAGACGGACGTTGTCACTCGGAAAAAACTCCAAACAAAAGCCAGGTTTTCCCCTCCCACGCCAAATGAACAGCTTCCAATACTTCGTTTAATGTCAACACACAAACAATATTACGGACCATACAAGACAGTCAGAAGTGAATCAATTCAGAATGGAGAACCGAGCCTCGACCACTCAGAGATTAACCACACTGTCTCAGTGGAGTCTGTCTCACTGTCTCACGGAGTAGAATGTACCCCAGTAAAGGAGTATTCATTGAAGAGCAGAGATCTGGTTCGAACCACGGACCTTCCGGTCAGTAACTTCGCGCTCTAACCACTGAGCCATCTCGCCCAACCAATTCGGTGCTTGTGCTTGCGCTGGAAGCGTGTACTGGTCAGAAACAGGCGGTGTTCAGCAGATAACTGGAGAAGTCACATTCCAGCACTCTGGGCGTCTACTCTGCATCCGTAACCCAACTGTGCTCCTTCAGAGCCTAATCGTCCAACTCGGGCATTCATATCAGCCGAGAAGTAGGTCATATTTGTTCTTTCTAACAGAGGTAGTAGTGACAAATCTCGAAAAACTCCTGCCTCAGAACTGCATTCTTCTGGGGATTATTGCGACATTGCAAATGGATACCACTTACCCTGACGACCTGCCTTGATCTTAACTGAATGAGAGCGGTGCAGCTGCGCAAAGGTGACTCTTCGCTGGGATCCAGTCCAATATAACAGTTGCATCCCTGGGGATGAGTGCAACCCCCACACCATAGATAGCGCGAGTCATTACATTGGGATCACTAGTGAAAATGAAACAGCTGTGCACATCCTAAGTGACTTTTGGTGTATACCCAAAATGGGGGTTTCGTATGCTTGTTTCGGAAACACATGTATCTGCGGGAAGGGGAAACAAGTTTTTAGCAGGAGTTGCTTATTGATCAAGTTGACAGAGAGTACGAACATTGTAGGCTACAACATGGGCCAGGGGGTTATTGTGGCTCATTTCTCTGGACGATAGTTCAGACATGGAGCATTATGGGTTGACCACAGTGCAGCATCTAATGGATGGAGAGGGTGTGGGTGAGGACCGAAGGACAGAGCTGCAAGGGCGATTGCCCATGTCGGTATGTTTGAAGTACCCCATCTTGAACCTTTGACTTATAAGCCCGAACCACAAAGCCACGGGTAGTAGGTGTTCTGGAGCGACCCTTCTCTTAACCAATGGCTCAATAGTCTAACCCGATTGCCCACGGGGTGCTAATCCAGCCCAAGGGCACAGTGGCTAAAGCACTCGTGTCTTACTAGTGATGCTACTGCGAAAATCAGATAAGTTTGGGCACTTGGTAGGTCTTAAATGTATTTTTGCCGTATTTTATAATTGGACGGTGGTCACGATCAACCGTTGCGCGATCGGAGTGTGCGGATTTTCAGCACGATCTTTTGTAGGTCGTCCTTTCCCGGGGGAAGGCAACATCTTTTTTCCCATAAGTATGGGCATGCTGGTAACCTGGAGAAGACACCTTGCCGGCTTCACACATCAATCGCAGAGGACAGTATGACTTTACCCCCAGACCGCCTTGTATCACGGTTATTCGTTGTAAGGGGGTACGCTGATCTTCGCTGTGTTTTTCAGAGGCTCGTAACATGCACCAGTACCACCTACTGAGGTCCATTTCGTACATTTTATTATATTGGCTTACTGAAATGTGTCCGCAACCCTTTAAGATGTTGGGCCCTGAGCTTGTGGAATGGCTCAACCAGCTAGACCTAGACAGTGTTGTTATGATCTTTGTGTGCTTATTATTATATTTATCCTATATACTCGTAGTGAACTTTTGTATGTATATTTCAGCTCATCCACGCTTGGTCTTAGACAAGTAAACGTCGTTTATCCCAGACTCTGTTCTAACTCGTTCTGGGACAAATGCTAAACGTCTCAAGTAGATTTCGAGCAACACTCTAAAGCTGCTCGAAGCTCCGACACGTATTCTTCCTGGTCCAGAGTAAAATTCCGCCAGACGAATTCTCAGCCATAGGACGAAAAAGAGCATCCGTGCATACCGAGATGCTTGGTGGGTTTAGAAAACTGGGATGAAGGAGACCAGAAACTCCAGGAGTGCACTGAAGTGTTCCAGCTAATGCTCACAGCGGGTTTAAAGAAGCCTCCGGTGAGCGCAACAGTCACTGATAACAACGTCTTGCTTATCGGAAAAAGGATAATCCTTTCAAATCCATCAGGACTGGTAACCTGCAGATGCTAGGTCGGATCATCAATTGGCAACGCATCCCTAAACAGTGAACTCGAACAACAAGAGGGCTTTGAAAATAAGCAAATCATCATCATCAATCATCATCAATGACAGCAACATCAGTGTTGGCACTGATGCTTCACTGCCGTACAACCATAAAGTTCGTTTAGTTCTATATATATATATATATATATATATATAATTGTATTAAAAGCCCTACAGTGAAGAGAAGAGAAAAAGAGTGGGTGAGGGAGGGGACCTAGTGCTGGC